CCACTGTCTATTATTGTATGTGTATGTGTGTGTGTGTTTGTGTGTGTGTGACGACAACGACAACGACGACTTTGGTTTTAGCGTGCCGCCATATGTTTCCGGCAAGTGTCCTGGCCCACACTTCGCCAGTTCAGCGCCCTTCTACCTTCCCCCGTCGTCTACCCTTCTGCTTGAGCCATGAAAAGCGTTGAAATCTGCAATGCCAACAAGTAAAGCAGCGCGCCCAGGACTTTGCCTTGACACTGGCTGTGCAGTTTTCCTAGCGGGGGTTGGAATTTCAAATGAAAAACTGACAACGGGCCCACAGTCAGCTCGACCCGCGCTCAACCCGTAGTTCCCACTCCACACTCCACACTCCCCACTCACCGCCCACACTCTCCCACTCGCCTATCTCGCTCAATCGTTTGCCACAATGCCATTTGGTTATTCGCCCAAGAGATGCGCGCGTGACACGATTCGATATGCCACTGGTGTGAAAGTATTGAGTGAGAGGGAGTGGGAGATAGAGAGCAGCAAGAGAGTGGACACTTTGCTAATGAGCTCAAGCGTCGACCAGTTTAGCTTTGATTTTAAGCTCGCTGTTAGGTAAATCAATTGTGAAAATGTAAGAAATATGCAAAAATATATTAAAATTCTTTTGAAATATTTGGATACATAGATTTCATTAAACAGAGTGAGAGTAGAAAAATTAAGCTAAAATTTGAACTTCCATAAATAAGCAAATATCTTAAAAAAAAAAAGAGATTAAAAGATCTTTATAGATACTTATAGATAGTCTTGAATAAATTTCTTAAATTTAAAGCAAAAAAAAAAAAAATGTATACATACCTATAAATCATAATACATATCATACAACTAAATATTTAAACTATTTGAAGCAACAACCTGAAAGCAATTTGTATGCTGCCAAAGCTTATCACGCGCTCATCTCTAAAACGTCGACTAACTGTAACAGCAAATGTAGCTGTAACCCGATACTCTTATACGCATATATTGCAAAGGTATCTATATATATGTACGTGTGTATATATCTATATCTTCACAGCCGCATAAGCGACACCTTCTGTCGTCGCCTGTGTCTCCGGCTCTTGCTCCATTTCCGCCTCCTTCTCCCACTCCCACTTCCGTTGCACTGATTTATCAAGGCCCATAAAGAGTAAAGAAAACCGCATTTGTCTATTTGTGAGTGAATTTGTTTTTTTTATTATTATCATTATTAATATTCATTCAATTTATTTTGAAAATCAGCTAATTTATTTGTTTAACTTAAAATTTTGTGTGTGGATTACATTGTGTGTGAACTTGTCTAACAATAATATAATATCTGTATATAATATATATGCATCTAATATTCTATAATTTATGTTTTTTTATGTGCACACATTCAGATTTCTAAATATACTATAATAAATGTATATATGTATATATAATTGTATTATGTTTATTATAATTTGTTTTTCTTTTGTTTTCTCTTGTGTAAATTTAGTTAATTTTCAGCATGAAAGTTAAAACATTTCAGTGGAACAAACATTTATATAATTTAATATAATATAGCTTATAAATTATTTTTCTTTTTGCACGAAGTGAGTTTATTAAAAATTAAATAAATTAGCAATTCTTTCTTTGATTTCATTTTTTTTTATAGGAATTTTTACAATAATTTCGCTTAGTTGTCATGGCTATGCTGAAAGTTATCGATATCGAAAACATTTTGGGGAGGTTTTTTCTGCCTCTCAAAGGAGATTTTGAGGGTTTGTTTGACTTATGTAAATTTTCAACAAATTTGAACCAAAAAGGTGGTTGCAACATGTCGCGGGGGTTGTTGGGTTTTTCTACTTATTTGTAATATCTATAACTCGATAACGATAACGATTGCAGCGCTAGCCTGACTATTTATATATATTTATACAATTTGTTTTTAATTTATGTACATAGAAATAACAGATAAAAACCGAGAGCAAAACGTTGACGATAATTTATGTAGGATATAGGTTATAGACGCCAATATACGATATACGAAATACAATACACATACTAAAAGTAGCTAAATTATTGTTATATGCATTAAAGCTTTTGCGTTTATCGATAAATGTTTCTACTTAAGCGCTGTTAATCGATGTTTGATCAATGTGTACTACTGCACCTTTTCGATAAGTGTTTGTTTAGGCGCTGAAACATTGGTCGATTACTACTTGTGGTTAAGTGCTTGCAAATTTATCGATACATGTTTATAAATTGATCGGCTAGCGATTATTTCAGGTTAGCTTACAACTTAAAAGTACGTTATTAGACGCTTGAAATTTATCGATAACGATTATTTTAATCGCTTTATATATGTAACCATCGATAATTACTTGTTTAAGCTCTAGTCATGGATTCATAAGTTTACCTGTTCCATGCTTAAGTGTATTGTTTGCTAACATTTATCGATAAGCGGTTGCTAAAGCACTTCAACATTTATCGATAAGCACGTAAAACGACTTTTCGAGTCATTTGATTTTTATATATTTTTAGTTTATATTGTTTTTGTGTGTTTGTTTTGTTTTGTTTGTTTTTTGGTCGAAGCTTTAAAAATAAATGTTTTTGCTGTTCGATTTTCGGTTTTTGTTTCTGTTGTTTCTGTAGCTTCGATATTTAAATTTATGTACAAAGTTCGTGCAGCAATTAAACGTAACACTAAATACGATAAAGTATCTACACGTTATTTGAATACCTATATATATTTGGGTATATATATTTATATATATATATATTGGTATATTTTAGTTATATATATATATATGTATAGTTGTTGTATTTTCGTATCTTTATGCTTGACACGCTCAGCTCAGCAAAATCGTTAAAATTTTATCGCCTCAACGAACGTGCGTGGCTCTCTAACTGTATGTTGTCTCTCTGTCTATCTGTGTGTGTGTGTATGTATGTGGGTTGGCTACTGTTCACACACACCACCAAAAAAAAAAAAAAAAAAAAAAAAAAAGATCTAAAAGTCCAAAATGCGCCGCGGCCGTCAACAACCTGCTTCACACTTCGCCGCAGACACAAAAAAAAAAATAGATACAGAAAAAAAAAAACACTTCCGATTAAGTTCGCTTCACGTTTTCACAACAAATTTATATCAATAATTTATATGATTTCTAGATGTGCTGCGATTTTGATTCAAAGCCACAAAATATACGCCCTTCGCTTGTTCGCATTTTGATTTTCGTCTTTTATCAGCTGTAGTGTAATGATTCCGTTCATATGGTAGGCCAAATGGATACCCTATAGGCACATTGAAGTCTATTTAATGTATGTATGTTCGCTGTTTGGTCTATTGAAAAGGAAAATTGTCCTTCTCATCAGGCATTTCAATTGAAGCGATTTTTTTGTGGAATTCGTAGATTTGTGATAACTATATCTGTATCTGTATGGTTCCTTTTTCGTGTTTTATCTAGATAAACGAGTTGATCTGTTGCACATCTGTTTTTTAAGATAAGTTGTCAATTGAGTAAGGATTTACCCTAAGGAGTTTCCCTGAAGAACTAGAGCAACAACTCTCTACGTCTTACTCTAACAAGTGATCCTGACTCTAACGAGTATGTCTAACGAGTATCCCTAACGAGTTTCACTAGCGAGTGGGAATCGCTTCAAAATTAAGCATATTGTTACAGCGAGTGTGTCTTTGTTAGATAGATTAATCATGAATGAGGCGCTTGGTATTCGCTATACCCATTCGAATTCGCTTCAATTTTATGCTCATTTTAAGAGTTGTTTCTTAGCTCAAAAGCTCCAATTCGCTTCAGATCGAAGCACTCGCTATAACGTGGAATTCAAATTAAAGCTCAAGCTACGAGGTTTTTCGAATTCGCTTTAAAATAATCCAAATACAACAACATATTTGCTTTATATCTCAATCTATAACGAGTTGTTTGTAGATTAAACAAGCTTTGCTTAACTTTGTTTCTTCATTTAACCGCGAGTTACAAAACCCTAATTGATCCACTATTAAATTGATTATTTGTTGACGACGAGTAGATCCTAAGTTCTAAGAAGCACTTGTTAACGAGTTGCTAGTTAGCGCTTAACGGTAACTAAAAATGTCTTCAAAATGAAGCTATTTGTTAGGAATTTAGTCAATTTCCATTGTAAGCCTGCTCCTAGCTCTCTGCTCTTTTGATAATGAGTTGTGTGCACAATCAACGTGGTTGTTCTTAACTATAGTATTTGTTACTTTCCTCATCTATCTCTCTTTCTCTCTCTCCTTCTATAGCCAATATCAGCAATTTAAATTGAGTTGCTAATTCGTTTCTATATAGATTAAAGCAGTTGCCTATTGAGTGGGTTCCGAGTGCAGCGAGTTGTTTTCGCTATCTTTTAACACTTTGTATGTATATGTTGTTGTTGTTGTTGTTATGCTTTTGTCTTTCAGTTACTTTGTGAATAAATTTTATTCGTTCTCAACTTGTTTTTGTTTTCCTTCTTTAATTTAAAGATATCTAATCTAAAGCAACGAGTTGTTCCCGATTTAGTTTTTTTGCGAATTGTTTTTTGTTATTTAGGTTTTTCAGTCCAACGATTTCAATTGACATCGTAAGCGTATTCAATGTGGTCTGCGCGCGTTTCTTTTGCCGTTTCTGTTTCTGTTTCTGTGTGTGTTTTTCGCTGATATTTTATAATTAATTTTCGTTCGCATTTTTTGTGTTTTTTTTTTTTTTTTTGCTATGCCAAACAGCAACAGCAACAAAAGCAGCTCTCGCTGTGTTTTATTTATTTATATTTCGCATTTTTGTGTCAGCTTTTTTTGCTGCTGCTGCTGTTGCCGTTGTTGCTGTTGTTGTAGTTAGCAACAAATACGTTTTATATTTATATTTGCATATATATATATTTATAGTCATATATTTCCATTACGGTTATAATTTATTTCGACGCGTACTAATTCCAATCGCAAATATTTGCACAATTATTTGCATGTGTATGCGAACGCTCGGTGTCTGTGTGTCTGTATCTGTATCATCTGCATTTGTATCTGTGTGCGTGTGTGTGTATCTTGTATCTTATATCTTGTTATTTGGTATATATGATTATAGTTTTGTATTCATGTAAGGCTTACGCGCCGCTGCAGTCGCGTCTAGTCGAGTCACTTCAAGTTGCGGTCGCTCTTTGCGCTTCTCATTGTGCTAATTGCAGTGGCACGTCTTATTGTTGTTGTTGCGGTTGTTGTTGTTCCATCAATTTGCGTTCGAGTTCTGATTGCCTTGCAGACTCTCGAGTGGCGCCACCAAATACATTTGCGTGCCGCACATCCAAAGAAACGCTGCATTTCAAATTGTACAAGTACGAGAAGAATGTAAATTGTTATTCATGCTTGAAAATACCAACAAAATGATGTAATGTGCGAGGCAAGCAAGAGTGTACCAGTGTGTGTGTGAGTGAGAGAGTGAGCGAGTGAATCGATGTATGCTGGGCACTGCTGCTGTTCATTAAAAAGGCAAGCAAAAAGAATACAAATTTAGCACTGAAAGCAACTACAAATATAATGAGCTATTGTTGTTGTTGTTATTGTTGTTGTATGTGTGTGTGTGTGTGTATGATAACGGCATAAATAAAACCAGCATAAGAAATGAACGTATCGTTTCGCGAATTAACGAATGACCAACCAAAGCACCAAAGAGAGCGCAAGGGGCGAGCGGGAGACAAAGCTAGAGGTAGCCTAACATTGCTCGCCAAACGAAAAGAGTATGTGTGCGTGAGAGTGGGAGAGGGGCACAGGCAATGCACAGGCAGGAAGAGTGCGCTGTGCCAGGCAAAAGCGAGGGAGGGAGATAAAGCTAGCAATCAAGCTAGACTAGCAAAATGTTCACCCAAAAAAAGGCTGAGAGTGGGAGCGGGCCACAGGCAGGCAGGTAGAGAGCTCGAAGGCAGAGCAATTCTGAGGGTGGGATGAAAAGTTAGCTAGGCTGATGCACAATTTGAAGACGCTTTGCGTATTTATACAAGCAACGCTCGCTAATGAAAAGAGAGTAATTTGGTGAGTGTGAGAGTGGCACAGACAGGAAGAGCGTGCTGAGCAAGGCAAAGGGATGGGAGGGAGTCAAAGCTTGCTAGAGCGCTAGCAAATGCTCGCCAACAACAAAAGTGAGTGTGAGAGTGGCACAGGCAGGAAGCCAAAGGCGTGGGAGGAAGACAAAGCTAGCTGGAGCCTCAGTTAGTACTGAAGACGCACATTTTATAAGCAAACGCTTGCTAAAAGAAAGAGAGTGAGTGTGAGAGCGGGGTCAAGCAGGAAGAGCGTGTTAGTGAATGGTGGGGGAAGGGAGTCAGAGCTAGCTAGAGCTGAGTCTAACGTGAAAGACACACGTTGACGAGCATTGCCCGCTAAAAAAAAGAAAAAAATGTTTTTTGTGTATAATGACTACTTGAGAAAAACGAAAAACGAAAGAGGAAAGCAAAGGCACAAGCAGAAGCAAAACGAAAAGAAAGAAAAAACCGAGCAACAAAAACAAGCAGCAGAAAACGCGCAAACACGAAATGTAATTTGTATAATTTGAGTCTCTTCTGCTTATTTTTTTTTTATCTCTTTTTTTTTTTTGGGTTGAGTGTGGGAAACGCGCCAAAAAGAAAATACATATACATATAGAGAATACAAAGCAATGAGAAGTTAAGCAACAGCTAACAACAATAGAAAACTGAAGAGGGAAAAACAACAACTGGAGCCGAGCCATTAAAACTAAGTTATCTAAAAGGTATTTAAGCTAGGCTCAGGAATTATAAAGTCTTAAAATTGTGCCAAAGTGTATTTGATAATGTTTAATGTTAAAGCTGAAGATATGTACAAATTGTCTATCGGTTGTGCAAAAATCTATTTTAGATTGTCTAAGTCTACCTTATCTATAAATATATAATTTTAAGTATCTAGAAATCTGTCCGATATGAAATAATCTATGTTAGGATATATAAAAGTCCACCAAATCAGTGGAAGACTATAAACAAAAACAACCTCAATATTAAATTGAGAATAATAGAAAAATTCAGCTAAGATAGAGTTAGTGTAAGATTGGTATACATAGATATATAAATATTTTAAAGGTGAGCAGAGGCCAATATATAAAATCAGATAATATTTGTTATAAGTAAATCATTCTTACATATATACAATAAATAAAGTATAAAGCCTTATTCAAATGTAAAAATTGTATTACAGAAATGAATAAGTGCGCGAATATGCTATAGACAGACAAGTTTTTTCATGAGTAAAAATTGTAAATATTATATGGAATAGTTGACTCTATATAAGCAATATTCAAGTGAATAACAATGAGTATATCTGAGGTTTTATAGAATACACTGTGAACGTGTGATTCAAGTGTGCGATGAGGAAAATTACATATGTAAAATTACATATGAATCAGTAAATATATGTATCTATATGTATATGATTTACGTCTATATATGTAAATAAATACATATTGTGAATAATCAAATGTAAATATAAATTAATGCATATATGGTTATAAATGAATATATGACTAAGTGTGAGTATGTTTTATAAACAAATAAGAAACTAAATCTACATTTATTATACCTATGAATAGAAGTGAATATATGCTATATACATATGTATGTATATGGATGAATATAAGTAAAAATTATATACAAATAATATTGCAATCAGCAGATCTTTTCGCTCAGTCTTTTGTTGTGTGTGTGTGCGTGTGTGTGTGTGACTTTGACTGCTTGATATAGATATATATCATTTTGATGTTGCACTTACCTTGTGACTAAGCGGAACTTGCCACCGATGCCAAAGTGTCGGTGGCGGCGATTTGAACGGGCGGCTTTGACATTGACTCGTTGTCAGCAGCAGCGGCAGCGGCAGCAGCAGCAGCATTTGGCAGCGACAGCGCGGGTAGCGAAAGTGCGGGCAGACTCGACAACGTGGCAGCAGCAGCAGCAACAGTTGCTGCCGCTGCTGTTGTTGATGTCGTTGTTGTTGTAGAAATTGTGGATGTTGCTGCTGCTGTTGCTGTTGTTGTTGCTGCTGCTGTTGCTGGCGTCTTGACTTCCGTTTTGGCCACGCTGCTTGCGGCCTTTTCTGTTGCAGTTGCTGCTGCTGCACTGTTACTGCCGCTACCGCTGCTGCTGCTATTGTTGCTGCTGTTGGTGTTGCTGCTGCTGGTGTTGCTACCCAGTGGCGCCTCCTCGGCCATTGCGGCGGCTTTAGCCTCGGCACGTATGTTCAAATTGGCAGCAACTTGGTCAATTGTTGTTGCCTTCTTCAAAGCGCGCGGTGAGGTTGCCGCAGGAGCAGGCGTATTGCTGTTGCTGCTGCTGCTGCTGGGACTTAATAAAGTTGCTGCTGCTGACAATTTGATCGTCTCTTCGGCTTTAACAGTCAACGGCTTGGCCACGGCTACTGCTGTTGCAGTAGTAGCCGCAGCAGCAACTGTTGCTGTTGCCGTTGTAGTTGCCGTCGGCGTTGCCTGATTGCGAAAGGCCAACGCTGAAGGATTTGGTATGCTGCGCACTGATGCATTCTGCGGCCGAACCACCGCATTCTTTGGCTTATTCTCATAGATATTGCCGCACTTGATCGAGATTTTCTCACGCGCCGTCGCCGACTCGGAGAGCATATGCAGATTTTGTAGATCGTCGCCGGTGCCGCCAGCAGCAGCAGCAGCAGCAGCAGAAGCAGCAGCCGCAGCAGCTGCAGCCACAGCGGCAACAACGGCGGCGGCAGCATTGCTGTTGCTGCTATTGTTGTTGTTGCTGCTGTTGTTGTTGTTGTTGTTGCTGCTGTTGCTGTTGGCGGAAATGTTTTGTTTGATTTTGTTTAAGGCTGCCTCCAGACTGTTGCTGCTGCTGTTGTTGTTGCTGCTTAATGTTGTTGCTGTTGTGGGCGCCAACTTTGTTGTTGTTGCTGCTGCAGTTGTTTGTTTGCTGCTGCTGCTGCTGCTGTTGTTGTTGCTGCTGCGTCCTGCTGATAAATCAAGTATGTCAGCATCCTTGACTGTTGCTGCTGTTGCTACAGTTGCTGTCGTGCTGGCTGCAACTGTTGCCGTTGTTGTTGTTGTTGTTGCTGCTGCTGTCGGCGGCCGAAATTCACGCAAACTTGTTTTCGACTTGTCCAGCAGCGCCAAGCCATTGGCTTTGCTTTGACTGCTTGCTGCTGCTGCTGCTGCTGCTGCTGCGGCAACAGTTGCTGCCTTTTTGGCCGTTGCTGCTGCTGCTGCAGCATTTGATTTAGCTGCAAAGGCTGCGTGCGTCGTCGGATTGCGCAGATTGATCAAAGCAGGCGGCGATGTGCGATAAGCAACATTGTTGCTGTTGTTGTTGATGTTGTTGCTGCTGTTGCTGTTGTTCATGTTGCTGTTGTTGTTGCCCGCTCGCTGTGCGCTCAGCGTCACAGACAATGGCGGCGACTTGACCATGGCCGGCATGGTCAACGGCGGCGATGCCGCCGACTGTGCCGCATTTGTGGCACGCTTGGCGGGCTGCCGTGGCAAGCTGGCCGGCGGACCCATCAGCCGTGCACCAGCAACAGTTGCCGTTAGCCCCGGACTCGCACCCAGACGCACTATTTCCAGTCCGCTGTCCGCGGCATAGGCATAGCTCTGGACGTTGCGTGGCCGCGGCGTTATGGTCACACTGCGTCCGGTGGGGCACAGCTGCGGCATGAGCATGGGCGGCGCATAGACATTGTTCTTCAGCCTGGCAGCAACAGGGTTGAAGCAATGCAATTGTTGCTGTTGCTGCTGTTGCTGGTAGTCCAGGCGCGGCTGCTTGGCCAGCAATTGCTGCTGACTCTCGTCCAGCGACAAGGCGCGCTTCGGCTGCTTGTTGGCCGCGCTGGCAATGGAGCTGGGCGCCGCTGAGTGATAGCGTTGCATGTGCGGCGGCAATGCTTGCCGCAGCGGCGACTGCGGCACGAGAAAATGTGGCGCTTGCATGGCGCTCGGCTTACGATTGCTATTGTGATTGCTAGGCAGCGGCGGTTTGGCCAATTTGGTTGGCTTGCTGGCAGCAACTGTTGCTGGTGTAGCTGTTGCTGTTGGTGTTGCAGTTGCTGCACTAGTTGTTGCTGTTGCTGTTGCCGTTGCATTGAAGCCTTTGAATAGGCTGGGCGGCAGCGGCGGCGAGGCGGGCAACTTGAGCGCCGGCTCGGCAGCAACTGTTGCTGCCGCCGCACTGCAATTGTTGCTGGCTGTCATCAGGCTGTTGATGCTGCGCGATTCCTCGCCCAGCGTGCGATTCAGAGCATCTTCCTTAGTTGCTGTTGCTGCTGTTGCTACATTTGCTGCTGTTGCCGCCTTTGGTTGCTCCTCCAGCTGCAGCTGCTTGAGCGAGACCAGCTCGCCGCCAGCCAGAGAATGGGATCGCTTCAGATCCAATTTGTGCGCCTTGTGATTGTGTGTTGTTGTGATCTTCATCTTCATCTTGCCATCGGTCTGGGAGCTAATCATCGCATGCAGCTTCTTGCGTTTACCGTTCGCATCCTTTGGCTCCTTCGAGTGTTTCTTTTTGCGCTTGCGATGCGACGACGATGAGGAGGACGAGCAACTGTTGCTGATGGTTGCGCTGCCATTGGAGCCATTGGTGGAGCAGCTGCTCGACGACATGGGCGACGCATTCGGACTGTACTTGAGCGCCTCCTGCTGCACAGGCTCAATGGGCTTCAGGCCAATATTCTTCACATATGTCTCCAGATCCACTTGCTGTTGCACCGATGCCGCCGCCGCCGCCGCCGATGCACTCTCCAGCCGCGGCTCTGCCGACCGGGGCAGCGTTAGCTTTGTCGTCATGCTGTTCAGCTCGATTTTCAGTTTGAGCGGTTGCGAGGGCGGCGTCGATTTCTTATTCGCTGTCTTCAGCTCGAAGGCGCCTTCATCGCCGTAATTTGCTGTCGATTTGCTCAGCTGCGATTGAGGAATGCTGACAACAATATTGAGATTCGAGAGATTGTTGTTGCTACTGTTGTTGTTGTTGTTGTTGTTAGTCAGCTCTGGCTCTGGTTCTGGTTCGCTCTTGACATGCAGCAGCGGCGCAGCTGAGGAGGAGTTGGTGCTGTTGCTGTTGTTGTTGTTGTTGTTGACCACGCCATAGTCGCTGTAGCGCATATCATTGCTGCGCAAACTCTTAAAATTTGTTGGCGCTGCTGCCGCCTCCTCCAACTCGCGTTTGCCTCCTGCCGACTGACGCTTGGTCTTGGCTAGCTTTGTGCTGTTGTTGTTGTTATTGTTGCTGCTGCTGTTGTTGTTGTTGTTGGCTTTGCTGCGCGTCTTGCTTGTCGCATGCAACGGCAACTCATCGGCAAAGGTCACCGATTTGCTGGGCTTTGTTGTGGCTGCCACAGCGACATTCGATTCAATATCCCGTTTAACCTTTGACAAATTGCTCTCATCGTTTTTTGTTTCAATGCGCTCGTGCAGCAGAATTCTATAGCGAAACGCCATGGGCGCATGCTGTGTGATAATCAAGCGAAAAACCAAATAGAAAATGCAAAATGGAAATGAGGAAAATATTGAAGGATTTTGCTAAACGTCTATCAACAATCTAGTCGAAGCTATATAGGAATTGCCGCAAGCTAGTTTGAAAAATGCAAAAGATTGGAGTGTTTTCTATGTTTGCCACGCCCCCAGCGGGCGTGTATCATAATGCTTGACATTTCCAACTTGCAAATTTTTATAAAATATAATCATAGATACATCTTTACATATCTCTATCTATCTATCTATCTCTCTCTGTATATATCTATATATCATCTATCTATCCATCTATCTATATATTTATCTATCCTTCTATCTATCCATCTGTCTATCTATCTCTCTATCTATCTATCTATCTATCTCTCTATCTATCTATCTTTCTATCATCTATCTATGTATCAGTCTATCTATCTATTTACCTATTTATCTATCTCTTTGTCTATCTATCAATCTAATCTATATAGAAATCTGTATCTTTCTATCTCTTATCATTATTATCTTTCTATCTCTTATTTGAATCCAATTAATAGATTTCAACTTTTAATAAGCTTATCTAACCTGAACTATATTTTTTGTAGATCCAAGTACTTAAACATACGGCTGTTCTAGGAACAAGAGCTCAACATTTATATCGATAAATATATGTATAGCGGATCAATCTAGTTAACTTATTCCACTCTAAACCCGAATCTGTTTTTAAGTTCTGTTTTCTTAAGACAACCCATAATTTGTATACAAGAAAATTCCATTGCAAAAAGAGTGCACCAAGTCTCATGTAGGTAGCTACTCTTTAGGCTGAGTTCATATGGCTACGGCAGAGTTAATCAACTATATAATCGACCTTATGGTGGCTGCTCTACACCCTGAATCGGCATTATGGAATGGACGCTAAACTAGCGGCACAATTCGATTTGCCAGCGGCTAATTTTAAGTGCCAAATTCAGACAAAACAAATCAACCTTCTACTTATCCCCCCCTGCCCATTGCAGTCCATCCCAATCGAGCCCATGCCATACCATGCCATACCATACCATACCATACCATACCGTACCATCCCATCCTGTACCATCCCTTCCCTTCCCATCCCCTTCTCTTTCTAATCTCCCAAAAAGCAAAACAAAGTTTGAGAACTCACCCGCTGCCAGTGGTAACAATAGCCGACATCCATGAGCGTAAAGTTGAGCGGCAAAACCTCATCCTCATACGTGACCTCGACCTCGACGTGTTTATTCTCCGGATCGATGTCGTACTTGGAGCAGAGGAAACGCTGCAGATGCACAACCCTCAGATTGGCGGGGCACTGCAGATAGCAGATGGGCGGCTTTTCGGTTGAACCGCAATTTTTGAGTGTAGCCGGATGATATTCCAGCGATAGACTGTATATGGGAAGAGAGCGGAAAAGGAGAAAAACGTAGATAATTAAATGAGAGGGTCTTGGCATATTAGAGATTTACCAGGCAATATTACAAGCAACTTAAGCACTAAAAGGAAAATGTGTGAAAGAATGAAGAAATAGCAATGTGAAATGAAGAAAGAAACTTATCTAGTTGAGCTTTAAACATCGTTCTTTCTTATATATACATAAATTAGTTATGAATTTAAGGGAAAAACGAAGAAAGTCAAAGAAAACCTAAGAATACCCCATTTTTTCTCATTTCTCAGACTTCTTCTTGATCTCATATCATTCGTTTACTATTAACTTTAGATCATTTCTTTTATTTCTTGATAAGGAAATGGTTACTTTTGACTGTCAATAAAACTTAAGAGTTAACTGATATAAAGAATAATATAATTTTGTCAAGGAAAAAGTAAAAACAAAATTTGAAACATTAAATGAGCTTAGATATAACAAAGAAAACCTATTTTCTATTCAAGCAAGAAAAGTTGACATTGACATACCTAATAGGCTCTCCAGGCGAAAAGAACTCCTGTTGCTGTTCCCTGGACGACTTGTGCAGCAAATCCTCCTCGGCAGCCAGTTCCTGGTGCTGTTCCTTAAACTCAGCTAGACGTTCGCATTCGCGCTGATAGAGACCCGGCACCAGTTTATAAATCAGCGCACGCAAAGTGTCATCGGATCTGCAAGAGAACGAGGCGCGACAGTTGTTAAAGCCAAGATTGGGGAGTGAGGGGGATGGGGGAGAGTAGGAGAAGAGGTGTTGCAACACCTACCTGAGGTTATCCTCGCTGATATGTTTGCCCCCGCTCGACTTGCACTGTGGGCAGTAAACATCGCGCAGCAAATGCTTCAGAATGCAGCTGCGGCAATCTGCAGAGAATGACAATCAAAGTGGGTTGTACAGATAGTATATGGATATATATATAGAGATAGATATATGTATGTATATATTTATCTACAGCATAAGCATCTATATAGTTATATATTAAGCACTTTTGCTTCACTTACATGTATGATAGCAATTGTCCACTGTTGTTGGATCTATCATATAGCCTCGGCATATGTGACAGGTGAACTGTTCATTGAACTGGCTCAGCTGTCGTGCGGAACCAGTGCGTTCCGTAGATTGCAGTTTGTGTAACTGCGCTGGTTTTTCCATTTTCATTTGCATTTTTGTTGTGCGTGTGTGTATATGTAATGATAGCCTCTTTTGAATAGTTTAGAATGTTTTAGATGCTAACATGTCCTGTGAAGAAGAATAAGAAGAAGAGCAAGAAATTAGTTACAAATTACGCTGAAGCAAATATGTGTAAAAGAGACAAAAGCTAGAACTATATCTTAAATAAAGTTCGAGCGTTATTTTTAAGAGACTCTAGACATCTTAATGATCGATCAAGATAGCTATAAAGCTGGAAGGTCTTATGATAGAGAGCAGAGAGAAATATGACTTGGAAGCTTGGTTCTCAGAAACAATATAGTTGATATATAAATTATTTTTGGTGTTGAAATCTTGATAATAAATAGCCCAGTTAGGTCTTATAATATCTCAAGAAACCTTAGAAGCTTTATGTAGTTGCCAAGCAAGGCTTGCAATGTTTGGACAGCTCAATGATACCACAAGGTTTATACTGCTGTTAGGTCTGAATAATTATTTACAAAATAGAAGAGAAATACGCAGATTTTTCACTAGAGTTCGAACCTTTGACATCATATGCAATATTTAGACATATTAACGATGCTACAAGCTTTATAAGGCTGTTAGATCTGGGGGCAAGCAAACACCAAAGAGCAGCGCGACAAGATCAGACTGAAGCTTTGCCTTCACCAGAAGAAGCGCCACACAGACCAAAACAAAGGTAAAAACAAAACAACAACCAACTGTGAGAAACAACATAAAGCAAAAATCACAGCAACAACCATCATCAACACCCAGCGACATGAATGTGGTTGGGTCGCTCTAGGTCTCTCGACTCGACTCGTCTCGTTTGTCAAACAAAAGCCCAACACACACACACACATTTATATAAATATGTATCTAAAACTTTATATCTATGTAGCAATGTAGCAAAACTGCAACTGCAACTGTGGCTGCCACAAAAAGATCTGGCAACGTCAGACGCAGCACTTTCAACTAGTAAATCAGCCATCCATGAATCGGAACAATGCCAAAAAAGAAAAAAAACTACACACACACACACGCACACTTATGTATATAAAAAGAACAAAAAAAACTAACTCATATGCGGCGCACATTAAGGCAAAGGTGGGTGCAAAGGGGGGCTAAGGGGCGCTACTGGGCTTACAAGCGACGCCCTTTGTGCTGCACACAGAGGGCATCCGACACACAACCTTCCGCACACACACACACGCACATGCCCGCACACACACTCAGCGCACTCGACGATGTTTTGTACTTGAATCTAGTTTTAGGTTTTTCGCCTTCGTCTTCGTCGGCGACTTCGCTGCCTTCGCTGTTGAGTTCGCCCGACGTCTTCATCTTCGCCTTCGTCTGCGCCCGACGTCTTCGACTTCGTCTTTCGTTGTGCAAACGAATAAAGTACGAAAATTACGCTCTTGCTATGCCCTACACACACACACACACACACGCACACAGAGTCAGAGTTGATAATCATAATAATAATAATGACGATAATGATGATGATGATGATAATTACGATGTGGGCAGCGAGTTGGATCAGCAGGTTGGCTTGATTCAGAAGCACAGGCGAAGGCAGAGTCAGAAGCAAACGCAGAGGCAGCAGCAGAGGCAGCAGCAGAGACAGCGGCAGAGGCAGCGACATAGGCATAGAGCAAAGAGGAAGAATATGTATGCCACATCAAGTTGATGAGATTTGAATGGAACAACAAAAACAGCAGCAGCAGCAGCAAATGTCATGTTAATGTGTGGAAATACATTTATACATGCACACACATATACACACATGCACACTCATACCCATACATCTAATGTGCTGTTGTTAGAGCTTTTAGGAACTAGTCCTAATTGTTTTGTCTGCAATTAAGTTGCTTTCGGTGTCAAATTAGCATAGTTAAGAGGCTAAATCGGCTGATGTATGTATGTATGTATGAAATATAATATTACACATGGTCAAATATTATTCATAGCATAATTGTTGAAATATGTTTACAATGCAAGGCCTAAAAATCCATTTGAAAGTAGCAAACAATTTTATAAAATTTTAGTTAGTTATATTATTGTACTCTGGGCAATAGGAATTAGAAAACTACTAATGTTGGAGAGGTTAGAATATAATAAGCCTTAGATCTTTGCAGCATAGGCTCCAAATATCAAACTTATGTTACTAGATATAACGTATCGATCTCTCAATCTACCAAATATACACTTATTATATTCTTCTACTTTTCGAGTTAAATATATATACATATATCTTCTAACTTAGTATCTACTATAGAGTCAAAAGCGTCTACGATAATCATAGACATTTATAAATGAGTAGACTTTTCACACATTGATGTGTATGTATCAGTATCTCTAAACATAGATATCTATCTATACGTAGTTAGATATATATCCTTCCTTTTCATCTCTCAACTTTATTTATTCTGTCCTTCTACCTATATTACACGATTTGTACAGTACCTCTATCTAGCTATCTATATACATAACTGACCATTCAGCAAGCTATCTACCAATCTATGCAAACTCTTTATCCATCTTTTCTTTCAAATATTCTGTAGCCCCTACTTAAAGTATCTGTACTTGTACAAGTACTTGAAAAGAAACTCAAACAAGCGAATCTTTTAAATTTCATATTATATTCCCAAAATGTTATAAGCATATGGAGATCTATAAAGCTTCAAGTAGTAAACCATACGCCTCTTAGATTAGCTTTAATATAATACATGCTCAATTAAAATGATCGTTCATTAGCTTCAAAATATGTTGCTTATTCATATAGTTGATAATAATTATAATATAACTATGTATATTTAATCAGTATAGCTATTTTTTAGTCTTACTCATTTCAATATATCTTATCTTTATTAGTTTTTTAGCTCAAATATATAATTCCATTGCGCTAAACTCATATAGTATATTTCCTGAGAGAGTTTCAGTTCGCAATGGTCATACATAAAAAAGTTAGTTTTATATTAAAACCCAAGTCTTAAGCCAATCTAGGATTCGTCCAGCTGCTACCCAAGCAAAGGCTGTAAATCTAACTGTAGGGCAAATAAAAGTCGCCTTGGCCCGCAAATGCGCAGCCCACTTTTTTTCTGTCTCTCTTTTTCTCATTTTGTTTTTGCCCCGTTTGCCTTTGACATGTTTCTGCTTTTGTACGTCACACGCTCACGCGAAACTGGCACGAAAGCAGCTTGTAAAAGGCAAGACGAAATAGGCGGCAGCAATGACAACGGCAACAACAACAAGAGAGTGAAGCTGTGCTGCGATGCGATGCGATGCTAGCAAAAAAAAAAAACAAAATTAAAAAAAAAATAAACAACAAGCTAAACAAAAAGCGAACAAAAAGGAAGACAGCAAAAACAAAAGCGGGCAAACTAAGTCAAAGTGGGCACAAGGATAGAGTTAGCAACAGCCAAAAGGAGGGCTGAAAGAGGGGGACAAAGCGAAAGAGAGAGACAGCGGAAGCTGGACACAGTTTTATATAGAAAATGCAAACGTTGCTAAGGATAATGAGAAGGTGGACGCAAAGCAAACACTAGCAGAGCCATTCATCAACGCCCACGCCCAACCCACACACACCCACAAGCTCACTCACACTCACACACTCAAAGTGTTAGACTAAAGTGGCTCACAGTGCCGGTCTTAGTGGGTGGCTTATGGGTGGACAATTGACAACATTGATGACGTCTTCAATGCCGCTGACGTATTAGTTTACGAGCAAGGCTCATAACAATACACCAACACACACCCACTCACACACACACGCTGACAGTGACGAAATGGCCACAGCTTGCACAGACTTCGCCGCTTCGCTGTTATCGCTATCGAAACGAAACGAAGCGAAGCTATAATAACAACAACAGCCACAACAGCAGCAGCAACTGGCGCCGGCACGAGCGCACTTTACAACAACAGTTCACAGGGTGGTTGCTACACACACACTCACACTCACACACACACACGCATACACTCATGCACAGTTAGAGACACGACGCGCACGCAACAAGCTTTGCCGATGATGACGAGAGACGCGGCGACACAGCGTACAATTTGTATATGTGATCGAATGAAATTTACTTGCGTTATGCACGTGCGGTATTGTCCACAACAGCAGCCGCTGAGAATACAACTGAAAGCAATGCACGAAATTCAAATGCTATGTGCGAGCGCTGGCTACGTTTCGTTCGTACTCGCATTCGGTACTCGCCGCGCAATTGAGGCGAAACGAGCACACGAAGCAACGAAGACACCAATTTGTATCTATTCGCCGCGGCGAGAGAGCGGCAGCACCGACAGCAGCGACAGCCGCCCCTTGTGGGCTGTGGGGAGAGCGTAACAGCGGCACAATCAAATCCCAAAACAAAACTTTCTACAATTTGCGCGCGCGTATTTTCGCCTTCGCCGCAGTTTTAGTTTCGGTTTTTATTTCGAATTGGCAGCGGCAGCTACGGCGACGGCGACGGCGACGGCGACGACGAAAATTCCAATACGACAACAACACTCACACATACGCATATTCGTAAACACAAACGCAAACGCACTTGTCACGTGTACGTGTGTTTACAAAATTTTCACACACACACCAAAGCTGTGTATAGTAGTAGCACGAACATGAATTTACTTTTCGTTACATTTCGCCGCGCTCGCCGCGCAATCAAAAGCAAAGTGAAATTTTTCTTATTAGAAATGTACACACCGTAGTTTTTCCAAGCGTTTGCCAAACTACGTCGCAATTTGTTTACAATGTAGCAATGCGTTAATTCACGTATTTGGTTTACCGGCTTCACGAGTTGCACTGGGATGGAAATCAATTTTACTCATAAGCATATAAATCGATTCAAACCAAATGATGAACTCTTCTTCTTCTGCTTACTTTATAGCACTTGCCGACTCACACAAACAGCATGGGCGCTCTGTGTTTGTGTGCGCTTCTTTCACTTCAGCTGCTGCTACTCTTATCGATTTCTCATACACGTTTTTATTATCACGAACAGCGGTTGAGATTTAAAATGCTCTCTCTCTCTCCCTGTCTCTCACACTCGCACACTGAATCGCTCTTTCACTGTCTCTCTTGTGCGCTGACAGCGTTAAAAATTTACTTTACTCCGTCCGCAAAGTGCACGGCACGAAAACTGTTCAAAGACTGATTCTGATTAGACCTGCCAACGACTTCGGCACTGCGCTGTCTGCCATGCGTTCGTCGCGTCGGCGCATGAGAGCTCGTCGTGAGAGCGAGAGCTCGAGCGCAAGCGAGACAAAGAGACGCTCTGTTGCCGTTTCGCGCCATTGCTGTACCGCCCACCCTGCGGCTGTTGTGAGGCTTGATTGGCTGCCACTACGACGTTCGGCTGTTCGGCAACGGCACGAACGCTTCGTGTCGCGGCTCGTGTATGTTTTGTGTATGTTGCGACGCCTTTACCTTTTTGGGGTGGCTGTGCGTTGCGTACCTGCCTGTCTGTATGTGTGTGCGTGCGTGTGTGGGTGCCTTTTTTAATTGAATTCAACTGTCAAATGAGAGATTAACGCGTCTGCATTGACGCTAGCGTCGGCAGCGACGTCGCCGTCGTCGTCAATCGTGCCAGCTACGTATTGGCCTTGGCGTTTATAATTATCGTGAATTCGCCTCTGTCTCTGCCTCTGCCGCTGCCACCGTCGCTGCCTGAGCTTCGCTGTTGTTGTTGTTATGCTCCGTGCGTTGGGCATTTTGTATAAAATATGAATATGTGGGGCCATATGCAAAAGGTATCATTCTCTGCTTGCGTGTGTGTAAATGTATATGTGTTCGAGCGTGCGTGTGTGCATGTGTATCTTTGTATCTGCATCTCTGTGACAGACACCCACTTGACATATGAAGCCTACTTGATCTCGCTTTCCGTTTTGACAGCCGCCCAGAGGAAAAGCCATTGTGAATTTTATTGAATTTGAAAACGTTCAAATTTGCATTTCAAAGGGTTAAGGCAAGACGAAAAAAATAAAAAAAAACCAAACGTTGACAGCGACAAGTGGCAAATCGCATGTCCTTGAGCACATATTTCTCGCACGTCTTCGCGTTGATTTCAAGGCTCGCTACACATTGATATGCATGGCAGTGGCTGGATAAATCGTCCTCAGACATTCAGTTTGATAAATGATGCAGATAAGCGTTCACTTGCGACGCGACGGTGCTGCTTCTATCTGTGATGCTCGTACAATTGTACAATAAGTACAGTTTATCGTGCGACATGTGAGCCCTAAAGGGAGACTGACATTATCTAATTTAAATTTCTGGGACTTAAGTTAATTTTTTTATAGAAACTGTTTTAATGGTTAAAGAAACTTGATTTCTGCCATTATAGGAGTTGCGGGAAAAGTCAACAGTAATCATTGTACATTGTCAATGCAGTTATATATAAATTTTTAAAAATACATAATAGGTAAATTTGTGAAGGGATTTCTACTCAGTAACTTATCGCTACACCATTTGTAGGATCCCACAGTTTTTACTTTGATATATTCCTTTCATAGTATGTGCGGCGCTGTCTGTCCATGTATCACATTCACTATCTCTCTCTGTCTCTCTCTCTCTTTCTGGCTCTCCCTTTCTCTCTCTCTCTCTCTCTCTCTCTCTCTCTGTCTCTCTCCATGTGTATTATTCGATTCTTCTCTCGCTGTTGATCTCCCCCTCTCTCTCTCTCACGCTCTCTCACACTCACTTAATCTCGCTCTGTCTCTCGCTCCCTCTCCCTCTATCTCTCTCTGTCTCACACAGACAGTCTCACTCTCTCTTTCTCTCTCTCTCTCTCTTCCTGTCTCCTTCTATCTCCCTCCATGTCTCTCGCCTCTTTCGTACTTCCCTCTCTCGTTTGCCTGTGTTTATCTATCTTCTCTCACTCTAACTATGTGGCTTCTCTATCTTTTGCTCTATCATCCTATCGGATGATGAAAATATGGATTATTTTGCCCAATTATATATGCATATTTTCTTGATTCTACATTAAATTGCATTAACAATAACAGGAAAATGCTTACTATAGTATTCGAATGGAATGTTCTTCTCAAACAACGGAGTAGATCGTGAGTTACTTAACTATACACTAAATATCTATGCATATCTTATAGATGCTTATGATGCATCGCAACCAATCCCCGGCTAGTCCATAAATGACTTTCCACTAACTTCCCTTCTACGGTCAGTGGGTGTTTGTGGTTAGCTTAACGTGCACCTTGTTCCATTTCCGGTAGCACATAATTCATGGCATCTCCTTTGGAATGGAGTTAACCGAAAACCACTGCAAATGCAGCATGCTAAAGTAATTATAAGCGACCCGCTCCACTCGAGGTTCAAATGCCAACTGCAGCCATAGATACATATGTGAGTGTATGCAGTGTGTGTGTGTGTCCTTGCGACCCAACTGTAAATGAATCCTCCTGGCAAAACGAATATTTAATGTGCGTGCGTGTGTGTGTGGGTGTCTCTCTGCGTGTGCGTGTGGCAACCGCCTGTGGTTTTGTCTGTGCGGTTGCATATTACATTTCGAGAAGCTGCAGGATATTTGCAGAGCTCGGCAAACACTCTGCTGCAGATACTCCTGTTTGGGCGTAGATACATTTGGTAATCGTCGGACTTCCAAGTATATTCATTTCCATTTCATATTTGTTTGTGTTAATTCATTGCCATTTGTTTCTATAAGATATCAGATTTAAGTATGCATAACATAGATACATTTGAAATTGTTTATGGATTGAACAATTCTTCGGGTCAATTTCAATGGGAGTATATTAATCACTTTGTTGTTTCATATACATTTCATATAAATTGGAATAAATTGTTAAATAACTAACGATTATAGATCTAAATGACAAACGTATCTTAAACAGCCTTTCAAAATATTTCAGCTACTGTACAACGTTAGCGATACTTTTCATTGGTTATAGATACCTTTCAAATATTGTGTTCGGCTTTTTTCCCGAGCTTTTTGTATTCGTTATATACTTTTTATACTATTTAAACATAGACCCCAATTAAAAATACTTTTTATAGAATGTAAATACAATTTATATCATTTATGGCAAGTTCCGCCTGCCAAAGTACCAAAGCCAGCCGAGCAACCTATAATATAATATTATAATGCAATTTAGCATTTACTTAAGACTATGAAAATGATCGTATATACAAATAGTAAATAGATATTTCATATGACTATAAGATGATGTATCTATTTTACACACATTTATAGCTCAAAGTGTGTAGATATCCCTATTATCGCATTTAATAAATATACTTGATACAGTTATTTTACATAGACGGCTAATTGAGCCTATCGTGGCCAGGAATCTAGGAAGATTATATTCTGTGTTAATCAAGATCCCATTTATTCAAGTTCTTTTCATTACCTTGTAATCTATTTAGCAGTCCTACACATCTGTAGATATGTTTAATAGTATTTAGAAACGCCTCAAATATGGTTTAGCTATATAGATCGGGCAATACGATTCCATTTCGTTTCTCGCACTCAAATGAATAAGTGTCCTCTATATGATATATGCTATCTATGCTTTGATTGTATTCTATATCTTTCTTCATATATTTTAGAGCTCCATTTATAGCTAAGATTCTTAAACGCATATTTTTATTAGTTCAACTACGTTGCTGCTTCAGTGTGTTCCATTTCATTCAATTCCATTTCATATCAGCTTTACTGCCAACGTTTTTTTTTAGTTTTGCTTCAATTTCGGTTAATACGAATTTTAGTAAATAAATCAATTTTTTCTACTTGCTTGGATTTCCTCTGCCAAATTTCATTTCCATTCTGTTTCACTTTATTCTCTTTAATTTGATCCTCTATATATTTAATATTTTATTAATATATACTCTGTCTTTATCAATTTCTAAACCCATTTGTTTTATTTTCAAATGTAATCAAATGTTTAGCTTTGCTTCAAATGAATTTCATTGTTATACGTTTCGCTTCATTTCCCCTTATTTCTGTACTTCCAATGAAAGCTTCACTTCAATACCAACTCTCCTTTCCCTGATTCAATACCCACTCTCCTTTCCCTGATTCTTCTTCTTCTTCTTCAGCTGCCACAACAAACTGTTAAATATGAAATAAATTTTGACAGGTGCGCTCATTACAGCGCCTTTATGGCAATTAATGTCCCCACTCTCTCAATCTCAGACTCCCTTGCTCTCTCTCACACTCACTCTCTCTGTTTCTCCCGCTACTTTCGTTCACGCTCTTGCCACAATTAGGTGGAATGTACTTTCAAAGTGACATTTATCAAAAGGGCGCATAATTTATTAGGCACAAAGTACGCGCACACAAAACGACAAGGATAGACGCAACGAAAAGAACGAGACAGAGTGTGCACAGAAAAAAAAAACAAAGAAAAATGCAATAAAATGAAAAAATCCAACTGAAATGAGTAAAATTAAGGGTATAAACGAGCGAGTAAACAAGCAAGATTTGCGAGCTAGCGTAAAATCTGTGAAGTATCTTTTCATACAATATATTAACCCTCAAAAAACGCATGTGTATGCATGTGTGTGTGTGTGTGTGTGTGTGTATGTGTATAGTGGAATACGTAATGAGCACTTGCGGTACACGTAAACGTAAATGTCTAAAGCTGAATGCCAGCTACAATGCGAATACCAACAACTACAGCAGCAACAACAACAAGCATCAGCCGACGGCTGCTCGCTCACTCACCACTGCCAGCCACACACACACACACACTCACACACAGGCATACACATACCCACTAGCAAGTGCTACGCTTTCTTGCTGCTGCTATTGCTATTGCTTTTGACTCGTCGTTCATCGTTCCCATTTAATGTTGCGCACACACACACTTACATATATATAGAAACATACACACAGCCCAGTGTTAAATTTAGTCAGCACCCGGCTGCGCACATGTAAAGCTTGCTAGTAAATTTCCTAGTGGGCGCTCGCTAGCTCTCCGTACAAAATTTTGCTGCTGACGTTGACAGCGAACAAGCAGCAACAGCAGCAGCAAAGCAAGTTTCACGTTGTGCGCGCAAACATGGCGATGGCGTTGCCTTTGCTTTTGCTTTGCATTTGCTTTTGTGCTGCATTTATAGTGTGTCCGTGTGTGTATGTGTGCGTGTGTTTACTTTTAAATTGCAAACAGGCCGTTCG